TTTTTTTTTTTTTTTTTCCGCTGAAAAGACTACCATAATATATTTAAAAGGCTAGAGGAGCAACCTCTGCAACAAGCATAATGTCAGGATAAGGACCCATGGCCATTTGGCAACTTCATGAGCCTTACAATTACAAGTTCTACTAATCCAAACATACTTAACAGGTTCAAAAGTGGATGAAACAGCTAAAATATTGTGAAAAATGGCAACAGACTGCCAACAAAGGGACTGGGTGTGTTGGGTGGGTTTGAGTGGATGTAGTGTCTTTTCCTGTTTTATGTCTGTTTTATTTCATTCATTACCTGTATGCAATGTAGTTAATTATTTAACTCTTTCATGCTACCATGTTGTGAATCAAGGTTTATGTCTTTATCTTATATCTCTACGAATTTTGTAAGTAGTGCTGCCAACTTTTATTATATAGATTATAAAGTTGTATTTACAGATTGAAATGGTCTTTAGGAGTTTGCTCACACTTCGCTGTCTTGAGTAGTTCCGCACTTCCGCATGCACAAGACATTCTCTCTTTGATCAAATTGTCATTGTGGCTCCTTGTATGATAAAACCCCATAAGAATATTTATGTAGTGTAATTACTTAGATGATATGTACTTGCAAGATTACCATCAATTTCTAGCTCTTTATGTTCTGACATTTTAAGCTTTTCATATGGAGCAGGAGAAATACTGGGAAGAGCAGCCAGGAAAAGCTGTATCTGTGATGAAGGCATGAAGCCAAATTTTTATTATGGTCCTTCGAAGGTGCGCAGGGAGGATCATTTCCCCCTGAACCAGTGAAAATCAAGCAGACGGAAATGGAATTTTCTTGGAAACTCGAGCAAATTACTGTATGTTATGAAATCATTAGATATGTATTTAGATGAGAACATTAGAAGCAAGAGCATGATATTGTAGCCTCAATAAGAACTGACAAAATGTCATCAACAAAAAATGGGTTCACCCAGAAATAATTTAGTTACTATGAGCAATCAATCGAACACACCACATCATTTTAGTGTTGTTTTGTAAATTTGTATGATCGTGTCATAATAAATGTAGAAAGAAAGCAAAAGAATTCAGTAAGATTTTATCAATCAATGGGCTGGGCCTTGAGCATTAGTTGCCCGCATTTTTGGGACAATTTTATGGGCTAGCCCATTTACGGCCTGTGTGGCGACTCTACACTACAATAAGTTCAATGAGGTGAGGACGTGAGGTAGAACTGTTGCAGAGCAATTTTTCTTCTAAAACTAATACCCTAAACCCTAAAACAGTCTCTTTATCAAGCAATGAGACGAATTCTGCTCAGATGTTATCCTCTTTGTGTTCGCCATTTCCATTCTTCCAATACCTTCAAACCGATTTCTACCAAATTACTTGTTTTACCTCTTACTTCAACTCAATCCAACTTCAAATTTTTCTCATCAGATAATGACCATTCTTACCCAAACCCTAACGAGAAAGCATTAATTAGTTCAACTCAACGTTTAAAAGACTCTAGTGATATCGAAGATGTTAGCAACGAAGGTAAAATCAGTAATTAATTAAAAAAATTCAATCATCAAATAGATTATTGCGCCCTTTTGCTTTAAGTTTTTTTTTTTT